AGCGGTTCACATCAAAGTCATTTTAAACATATGAAATCTATTAAATAGTTTAAGATACAATTCTAGAGCCCAATAACCGTATGGCGCCATCAAACAATTCTGGACCCCTACTTACATTAGCAATGGGGGAAGAGGGGTGAAAGCAGACTGTGAATCAAATGGATCTTAAGAACTATCAAACTGTTAAGAAACAGTCGCTGTTCTCAGCTGTACGCTTGGCAGAACATCAGTGCTCTGCAGGGCCTCCTAATTTGTAGCAAATCCCACATTGCCCGGATGTTAACCAGCAGAGAGTTCCACCAAGTTGGAGCCAAAGCTAAAAAGACCCTGGCTCTGGTTGAGGACAGCGGGACACTTTTGGGGCCAGGGACAATCTTAGGATGCATTAACAGAAGCATTGTGTCCAGATCACAGGATGCGGTAGTTCCGCTCTATTCTGCTATGGTCACGCATCACCTGAAGTACGGTGTCCAGTTTTGTGGAACTCATTTTAGGAAGGATGTTGACAAGCTCCAGCGTGTCCAGAAGAGGGCAACCAGGATGGTGAGAGGGTTTGAATCCAAGTCTTATGAGGAAAGGCTGAAAGAGTTGGGTCTGTTTAGCCTGGGAAAGAGGCTTAGAGGGGACAATATTGCAGTCTGCAAGTATTTGAAGGGCTGTCATGTAGAAGATGGAGTGGATCTATTCTCTCTTGCTCAGGATTGCAAGACTAGATCTAATGGGTGGGGATTACAAGGGAGTCGTTACCAGCTAAATATCAGGAGAAACTTCCTAACTGTAAGAGTGGTTGAGCAGTGGAACAGTCTGCCTTGGGAGGTAGTGGATGCTCCTTCGCTGGACATTTTCAAGCGGAGGCTGGACGACCATCTTCCAGGTATGTTGTAGGTATGTAGGGCTATCTTTAGGCTATGGTCCTGCAGAAAGCAGGGGGTTGGACTAGATGACCTGCAAGGTCCCTTCCAACTCTAGCATTCTATGATTCTATGACTTCCAAAAGACGTTGGTCACTTCAGCGTAATGCTTGTCCGGGGTACATACAAGCAGAGGAGGCCCTGTAGTTACTTTGGTCGCTGACTGTTTAGGGCCTTAAAGGTCAAGACCAAAACCTTGAACCTGACCCAGTACTCAACTTGGGGCCAGTGCAGCTGGAGAAGCACAGGTTGCATAAGTGTAGTTACCGGTGTCCCTGTAAGGACCTGAGCCACTGGATTCTGGACAATCTGTAACTTCCAGATCAGCCACAAGGGCAGTCCAGCGTAGTGCAAGTTACAGTAATCAAGTCTAGAGGCGACTGTTGCGTGGATTACCATGGCTAGGTTGGGGCTAGACAGGTAAGGGGCAAGTTGTTTTAACTGGCTACATTTAGCAACTAGGAGGGCAGGTAAGTTTAGTGTTAGGGGGAAGAGGGGTGCAGGAACCATTTCATGTACTCTCATTCCCACTGTGTTAGTTTTGGGGAGGCAGAGACGCTGGCTTTTCCATTTTATCAAGAGAGAGAGAGAGAGAGTTGTTCTAAACCAAAAATCAATTTATTCCATTACACACTCTTTGGCAAAGAGAGCCTCCCTCCGAATCTTGCCCAACCCGGGCTGGAGATCATCTTCGCCAAGAGGGTGGCTAGCTATAATTACAAAGGGGGGTTAAAGGCACTTGTATACCTTTAACCAGATAGTCCAACCACCAGACCTTTTGTGTCCCTCCAGTTAAGAATCAAAGGACAGACTCCTGACCTTACTGGGCTCAGCTAAGGAATCCTCCCTGCGTGGTTGGCTCACAGCAGGAGACCCACAGGTTATTCTAGAGGCAGTAACCTACAGTCTTAGCCACCAGTGGAGACAGAAACCAGAAGTTGGTAAATAAAATACATGTTTATTTAAGTGCACTAGATATATTCATTAAAAGGTGCAGAATTACTTAAAACAGTACTGTGAGGGAAAACAAGAAAGCTAAAGATTAGCAAACTCGCTAAGTACTTCTAACGCCTTGGTTCTCAAAGACAAGATGTTAGCCATTTAGTTCTGGGTCCAAATGTACTCCGTCTCCGGAGTCCCAAGCGTCAGGCTGGTTGGCTTCAGCAGCCAGAGCTCCCAAGATGGCCGAAAGGTGAGCAAGACAGAGTTACAAGTCAGCTTGACATGCAACACCACCATGCCCCCCCAAAGGATGTTAAAGCAGGTTATTTATCGCTGGAACCCTCAGTGGTCGCTAGGCCTGTGCACCAATCAAGGATTAAGCAATGTCTTCTAGATAGAAGAAGGCCAATCAAGGAAAGGACGATTTCATTGGTCTCTGATTGGTCTCTGGTCATCTCAGAAGAACAGGTGCCGTGACCAATGTTCCCTCTAAGCTGAGTTAGTGTGAGCTAGCTCACGTTTTTTGAGCCTCTGGCTCACCCATTTTTGTCTTAGCTCAGGAAGGATGGCTCCAGAGCAAACCAATTTATGCAGTAGCCAAATCGCTCGCTCACAACTTTAATGCCAGCAGCTCACAAAGTAGAATTTTTGCTCACAAGACCCCACAGCTTAGAGGGAACATTGGCCGTGACCTGCAGTTTCACAGCACCAGTCCCTTCCCACAGGACTTAACTACTCTGGAATGTTCACGAGGGACGCCAAGTCCAAAGAGGGAACATGTTAACTTGCAGGTGCAAGGATGTTCTCTCTCCCCAGCACGGCTGTGTGAAACTAAGGAGACTTAAAGACAACATTCCTAAACAAGAGCAGGCTGCAGCCAGATGGAACCAAACTTTTAAAGCAAACTCCATTTTGAGTGAACCAAAGTTCTTGAGACTCTTAAGTCAGAAAACATTTTAGTAGCATTCCAGTAGTCAACACAGAATATTTCAACATCACCCCATTACATAAATTGTGAACTTCTAAGTTTGAAAGGGATATCCTTGGCTGTTCTGCCAAGAAACACCATGGCAGGGTGGTTGATCAGCACAACTTAGAACATAACTAATTCAGACATTTGAGTACTCTTTTTCTCCCATCAAAGCTAATGTAACTGTCAGTCAAGTCTGTGATGAGCATTTGACGTGCACAACAAAGTCAGCCCCTTTCATTCTACCTGTGGAGTCAGGAATGTCAAGGAAAGCTGTGTTAAGCCAGGGTGACTCACGAGTCGAGGAAGCTGGTTCCTGATACTCTATCTATTTAGAATTTGATAGTGACTTTGGACTGCTGCAACCTATAAACATCCCCAGAAGGCAAACGTCACGTGAGTCTGAGGCGACTAAGGCATCCCTCACTGAGAACATAAGAACAAAGGAGACACCAATGTTGGATCAGGCCAAAGGCCCATCCAGTCCAACACTCTGGGTCACACAGTGGCCAAAAATACCAGGGGCCATGAGGAGGTCCAGCAGTGGGGCCAGGACCCTAGAAGCCCCCCCCCGGTTGCCCCCCCCCCCCAAGCACCAAGAAGACAGAGCATCACTTGCTGGGTGAAGAAGTACTTCCTTTTATCCGTTCTAACCCGACCGCTCTGCAGTTTATAAGAACAAGTGGTGTACAGTGAGGGCCCACAGCAC